ACATTTATACATGCAAAGTATGAATTATTAACATACGTGTAATCGCAATGATTAATCACCCATGTGCAACAGCAGCTTCAGACCTCCTCTTGATGACTCACAAGGACGTAAACAATTACACTGTTTGCCCCGTCCGCCATTGTAATGCTCCGTGACTTGTCGTTGATTAATTATTCATACTTAAGGCATTATTATTCCATTGTATGCTGTGCAAAATGGGATCATTAGCGCCGAATATTAGAATGTGAAAAATAGAAAATATTGGGGGGAAAACGGTGGTGGATATAGTGGGTATAGGAAACCCCAAACAATCCAGACTATTAGCAGATAAAGAATGGTAATTTCCCTAGAAGTAATTAGGATTAGCATAATTTGACGGCGCATGAATGATGCATGGATGATTGATACGTCGATGCACGTACTGTAATGAGTCCCTTATCTCCACTCTTCACTGAATACTTTTGTGTAGAGCGTAGCCCGAGGTGGCATCTACTGTAGTTCTTCACCTCTGAAGGGAACATCCTGCATCACACACACACATTCAGTCAATGGGGCTTCAGGAGAGTAGAAGCAGAGGTAGCATAGCATCATCCTGTACAGTAGTAACTGATTGAAGATGGTCCTTTTATCTTGACAGGCTCCATGTTATAGCCAGACCAGGAAATATGATATGGCAGCTCATGTTCTCTTTATCCCTCTCACATGTGTGTGTGTGCTTGTGTGTCATCCTGCCAGTGTGTGTACATTGCATGTGCTTGAGCCAGTGTGTGTGTACACATGAGTGTGCAGCTACACAGTATTATCAGCAACCACGTGTGCAGTCAGTCACTTTGAGCTGCTTTTAAGTGACAGCTATCGATTGGATGTTGGTGTTGTTGCAGAGGCTTCAAAGCAAGACCTTGCCCTCTGCATCCCACTTGAGATGGTAACTCTAGAGTACCTGCTTTGTAAGAGTACAGCGTGTACTCTTCTTCAGAAACACAGTCTCCTGCATGCATCTGTGTGTAGTTGTGTGTATGTGTTGTTTAAAAGGGTGAGATGCGATGTTGTCTCGACCCTGTTGCTTCTACAAAACAAAATAAATGTTTTCTTCTGCACAATTTCTAACCAACCAATCACTCTCACCACAGATAGTATTCAGATATGCTTACTTGGCCAGGTAGTATTATCTTTATTTATACAATAACACCAAATAAGTGTCTCTCCTAAGAAGAATTGCCAAATCCAATCCAATCTAACTTTATATATATAGCCCATTTCAAAACAACAGAGTTGACCAAAGTGCTGTGCATCAATACATATATAAAAAAGCAGCATAAATACATTTTGACAAAACTAACTCTTCATTCCTGGCCCATTTCCATAAAAAAAGAAAAAATGCAATATGTACCATCATTATCAAAAGCATTCATATCTCATACAAATATTCTGACTTTCCAATAACCTCCACAAGCATTCTGCCTGATCAGCACATACTGTCTCCTTGTCCCTCGCTTATTTCTTTTCCAACAAAACAAGCCTTTAACAGTTTTACCCTTTGGCTACAGATCAGCATCAACATTATAGGATCATTATGCATGTATCGGCTATAGTAACTGCACAGGGGAGGAGCCAACTGGATCTGTTCTGCAGGCAGCTAACAATTGCCAATAGCCCCCTTCCTCTCTCAGCATTTCCTTTTATATTTGCCCTTTCTCCCCCTCTCTTCCTCTCTGCCATCCCCTCTACTCTTTCTCCATTCAGAGCTGTCTGAATATAGGTCAGCATTCTCTAAAATCCTTATCCTTTTGAAAGTTTTATGAGTGCACTCCAGGTGGGAGCGCGGTGAATATTACATTTGTAATTTGGAGTCCCAGGTATCTACCATTAGAATATTCTGATTATTAAGGAGAAGCAGCCATTGCTCAGAGGGACTTGGTAACAATCTCTATGGTTCTCTTAATGTGCTTTTAATATGTTCTTAAATCTAAAGATAATGCTTTAGCTGTCTTAATTGTGTTTAAAAAGGGTTAGATTACCCACATTCTAAAAAAGCATTTACCTCTGGTGGTAAATAGCCATGCAGGGAGTTTTCTTTTATTAATTTTTTTTGAAAGATCCATCTCTGAGTTGTCTGCTTCCATCTCAGAGCAGCTCAGGAAAATTGAATTTTGTTTGTAGCTCACTTTAAAACAGCCGTGAAAGATTCAACAGCAACGTGTCTTCCCAAAAACAGTAGGCCTATGTCCAATACTCCGCCTGTGAACAGAGGAGTGAAGAAATAAAGAGATGGATATAAAATGAGTTCTCTAAAAGGTGCCACTTAGCATTAAAACATGGTGTGAATCATATGCTATAGGCTTCACCATCCCAACCTAACTATAACCTATTGGAGGCTTTGGAGGAAAGGGGTACAGGAAATGAGATGTCAGCATCTTCTAACCTAACTGTCCTTGTCTGCTACCGTCAGAAATTCACTCGAAACATGTTTTTCAATTGGCTCAAAGAGGAGTTTATGGAAAATAACAGCAATGTTTTTTAATATATTTAATATAAGGCAATTGTTTACAGTAAAGCTTAACATGTGGCCTTACTCAAATGTTCCAGAACATTTTTGAAGACAACACCAAATACAATCTTTGCATATGGATTGTCCTTTACACGGCACTCCAGCATCATATCAATTATTAAATAAATACAATTAATTTAGTTTTTTTACCTTCGGTAGAGTTCCACCAACTTAACATTAACTACCAAGGCATATTAAAGTTGTTACAGTAGTTCTGGAGGCCCCACATCTTACAAATACAATTGATGTTGGTAGTTTGTCACCAACCTGTAGTCTCAGGAAATGGTTCATAGTGTGGTCAGTGAATTAGCCACAGGTACATGGAGACTGTCTCGGAAAAGACACACTGCTTTTATTTCACCGCACCAAAATTCAATTTACATTCTTTGTGAAGGCAGACATCTCAGTAGCTACAAATCTGGCCAAAGAAATCCACTAAAAGATCTGCATGGCTAGATACCACACAACAAGGGCAACAAGTATGCTTTGTTTAAAAATGGTGAATCAAGTTTTTCTTTTGTTTAAAGGTAGAGTAGGTAAGTTTGAGAAACCGGCTCGAGATCGCTAGAATTTGAAAATACACAACCGGAGAAAATCTGCCACTTCCTTACAGAGCCCCTCCTCCAACACACACGAACGCGCACAAGACCAATGAGGGCACGAGATAAGTTTGTGCACAGATGGAAGGCTGACAGGCAGGTAGGCCATCCAGTTATTTTACCCGGGCCGGCTAAAATGATTGGTCGTGCTTTTTACAGTACTACGGCTTCCACAGATGACATTTTTTTATGGATTTTTTGTCAAAGCACTTAAGATATTCATTGCTATCGGGATGTTAAGAGCATTCCATGGAATATAACAAAAAGTGTATCTCGAGCCGGTTTCTCAAACTTACTATACCCCACCTTTAAGTTATCAAATAACATCTAGCAAAATGTAACCTTGTAAGAAAAATGATCAATCAATTCAGTCTACTTTTTGTCTGCTTTAAGAAATCATTAATTTTTAAACCAAGGCTACATTTCTCTGACTATCGCCTGTATTTTAATCCTTTTGCTCTGGCTCTTCATATTTCCACAATTAAAGACCCACCCCTCTCAGCCCCACTCTAACAGCTGGCCATTAATCAGTCCTCGCACTCGATTTCTCCTCCGCCACAGGTTATGATTTTCACATTACTCCACACTCCTTCACCGCCATCCGACAGGAAAATGACCACAACCCCCCACCACCACACAGACACACACCTCGAATCTCTCGGAAAGTGAGATGTTGGTGTGAGAGAAACGCATGGTGAGCCCGTAAGGTGTTACACAGTTGTGTGAATGCTCATACGGGTGTTAAGACATAAACGCTCCTAACATGATGGGGGAAACCACGACGGCGAGTCTGCCCCCACCTCACACCCATTATCCTTTTCTAATTACACTTTCCTTCTGAAACAGTGGATCATAGGGCACCATTGACTGCTTTTAATCCGCCACCACATTTTAATTAACACAGACGTGACCCCCGTCTCCGATACATCCCGGAGAACGTCGGGATCACAATAACTCATAAATCACAGCCACATATTTCATTCCCTCCGATTTCCGCGGGTGATGAATTTCCAGATGGGGGCTGGTGCTTGTTAATGTCAGGGAAAATATGAGGGAGAGAGACATGGTGACTGTATTGGAGACAGAGAGAGACGGAGACAGAGGGAAGGTGGACAGAGTGAGTGTTTATTCGTAGGAGAAATGGATTTGAGAGAGACAAAGAGAAATGGCAGCATTTCTGTTGTGCCGTCAACCTTTGAGAGATTTGTCACCGGGGAGGCTGTGAAATGGGGCTGTGTTAATGCGCCGGGTGTTGGGGAACATGAGGTGGGCAGTCTCTGAAAAATCAAAAGGCTGAACAAGAGAAAACTCTCTGAAGAATTAATTGACACGTTTCTCTGTGTGTGTGAGTGTTTTACACGTGTGTAATATTTCATTAAACATGGAACATAAATGATGGACTTTAATGATATGTTTATGAATCTGTCTTCTCAATGGAATTACACCAGTGATGTTCTGGTTCTCAATGTGCCCGGCGCCCAGTGCATGTGTGTTTCATGTTTGTGCAGAAGTGTGTTTATCTGTGTTGGCGTTTGCATATGTGTGTCAGTGTATGCGTGGAGTTAGAGGTGGGCAGGGTGCCGAGGTTTGTTATTACAAAATCGCTCATCCATGCTACTAATTAAGATGCATAGCTTCCCCCTATGAACGTCAGTGTCGCTAATTATCAAACAATGTAGTGCTCACTAGATATGAGAACTGGCAGCCTCTGTAGTCATGTTACCAACCTATTACTGCTACAATTACCAAGTGCCTGTCATTCTCCTTGTTAGTCATCTGCCTATTTTTCTTTGACTAATGCCTGTCTTTTCTTCTTCTGTCTGCCTCTCCCCTTTCTTCTTTTCTCTCTGCAGGCTATGGCTTTGTGGATTTCGACAGCCCAGGTGCAGCACAGAAGGCCGTGTCGTCTCTCAAAGCCACCGGGGTGCAGGCCCAAATGGCCAAGGTAAGAAGTGTTTAAAAACAAGTTAGCATCCCCACTTCCTTCTGCATTGTCATCAGCACTTTGCTGCGTGTTCAGCTCCCTCCAGTGATTTCATATTGCACACCTTACACGCTTAATAGACATTGATGGATCTGAAAGCTCTGCAAAACTGGTTTTATCCATAAACACGGTTTTATAGAAAGTCATTTTCCGCAGTGCTTTGCTGTTTAATGACAAACTTGTTCGCTCTAATATAAGATGACTCTTGAATGTGGGCTTGTAACTGCGTATGGTTGACTATATGGGAGGGCCACTGGAGTGCATGCAGGTCTGTTTTATTTTACTGACACTCGCACTGTAGTCTCATACAGCGACTATGTTTTTGTGGTTGCCTGATTCAAGTGGTTACGTGGACTTAGTGATGTGTGAGAATATGTGTGTGTGTGTGTGTGTGTGTGTGTGGCGTTATTCCACAGCAAACTCCCTCTGTTGCCAGCATGTTAGCTGGCATTTCTCTTTGTGAGATTTGACCGGCCTCTTGTCCTGTATTGTGCATATTATTAGCCTTCTAAAGTGGAAGCAGATGAGTCAAGCTGTTAAAGTAATACACAGTGAGTTACACAATGGAGCTAGGTTGACGGACAAAGAACCAAATTAAAGCAAAAACACGCTGACAGGATATGTGCTTATTTATTTCACATTGTAACCTTAACATCTTGTATTGTGTGTGATTCCGGCATATTCAGCTATCTGTCAGTTGTAGTATTGTAAACTGGCTAACTGGGCTTTTAGCAATACCCCTGAAGAGCTGTGGTTCTAGTACAAGAACATCAGTTATATTGTTAAATATATGCCGACTAGCAGCTGGCAGCTGTCCTTTATCTAATTTTACTTTTTAAATGTTTCATTTCCTTGCTGACTGAAAGGAGAATCACTGTAGACTAAAGCACAGCTGGGCCATCTCTCCGGACAGCTATGAAGGACGAGCCCGCGTAGCTAAACCAGGCTATTTTTGTACCCGCCGAAGATTTGCTGGTGTCAGAATATTTAAATAGGTGAGCAAAATGTCAGTAGCATTAGAGCAATGAATATGGTGATGACTATGAGGGTACACTATGAGTGATTTTCTCAGACGAGATGGTCCACATTTGATTTGATCCAGAAATCCCCCCTTTAAGCCAAAGAAGCCCTGATGAGATGGAGAACTGTGATGGCGCCAGTAAGGATGACAGAATTGATGATAACGATGAAGATGGCAATTATTTTGATCAAATGGGATGAGATCTGACAGGAGGAGATGATATTCCGCGCGGTGCTCAGGTGTGCCATTTCTCAAATGCACCATTTGGCCATTTCCTATTCCCCACTAGTGTCCTTCTTCCAATATTTATAAGAGGGCAGGCTCTCAGAATACAGATAAGAAGCGGTGATATTTGCCCATCTAATTTTAAGACCCCACTTTGCATTGCTCCCCTTTTCTCAGTCAATATTTTCACGAGAGAGGTTTTGCCTCCCAAAACAAAAGAGCTGACCTTTTTAGGTATGTTTGTTTGCATAGGAGTGCGTGCTGGCACATTCACAAAATCATTTTCGATTAGCATCTGCGTATAATAGTTTGTTTTCAAATGTCCCCTTGTTCTGTTCACACAAATGTAAAGGCCAGCATTCTGTGCCGCAGTTCTGTACTTTTATCACACTTGCGAGAGACATTTAGGAGTCGTTGGCTTTTATAGACTGCATCTCTCTCATGTGTCTTTACCAGGTATCACTCCCATCCTTCTATCGGCTCCTCCTCCTCCTCCTCCTCCTCCTCTCCATCCTCCTTCCCTTTAGCTTGATGCCATGTTCTCTTGTCATCTCGGTGCAACCACATTCATAAACACATTTGTATTCACCTCCACCATGTGTTCCCCTGCCAAACATCCAATGAGTGCAATTTCTTCCCATCAATAATTAACAGCAGGCTGCCTGTGTCTACCTGCCAAGGTGTCTCTGACACCCCCCTCTCTCTGATGGCGGAGCAGCGTTCCCCTTGTGGGGTGGACGGACGGACAACCCATGTGCGCATCGAGGACGGTGTGAATCCCAAAGACGATTGCTAACACCGCAATGAGACTAGCCTCATTCCCTCACTCCCTCCGCTACATTTCGTCACATGTATCTCCTCAAAACAAAGTAATAAACGAAAAGCAAGAGGCTTTGAGCTAGGGCTGTGCAATTCATCGTTTTTTAATCGCAATTACGATTTTGGCCTGCCACAATTACAAAAACAAAATAATCGAAAAAAACGATTATTTAGCTTTGCTAGGTTGTGACAGTGCACGGCAACATATTTTATCTCATTTATTTTATAGTCTAATTTATTTATCATATTTATATATGTTTAGTAGCGTGTTGAAGTGCGCTCCAAAATATTTGTTGAGCTTTTTTATTGGTATTTATTATTTTGATATTTATTTAAATGTAAATATAAATGTATTATTTATTTTATTTATTGGTTTTTCAGTTGAATTATACGTTCAGGGTCATCAACAGTTAAACAGATACTGTTCAAATGATTATTTTAATTTGTTTTAAAGTTCAATAAATTGACGTTTTCAAAGTCAATGAATAATCGTATTTAATAATCGTGATATCAATTATTGACCCAAAATAATCGTGGTTATGATTTTTGCCATAATCGCACAGCCCTACTTTGAGCTCATTAAATAAAACGTCACAGTAATCACGTTGCGCCTTTTTTTGCTTTCTTGCCTTGACGCCATTAAAACGCATTTATTAAGGTGCCTTATTTTAAACACAGCTGGAAAGGAGGAAAGAAGACAGAATCAGAGGGAAATGCAAAGCGTCACTTGATTTCCTCTTCTTCCTCCAATGTAACACCCTGCTGTCTCTCTCCTCTTACTCCCCTTGGAATTTGAAATACCAAGGCAGCAGAGATGAAACATTGCCTTCCTTTTGTCTTGCCCTCCCCCGGGGACGGTGACAGCGAGAGGGAGGAGAGGAGCCATAATTAAGATACCTAAAGGACACTTCCCCCCCTGCGCCTCCCGTTCTGTCACTCACCTCTACCCAAGTCACAGATAAGAGCACTTAGCTCAGGTGTAGAGTATGTGTGTGTATTCCAGTGTACATCTGTGTGAGTTTGTGCGTGTATGTGTGTGAATACATATATATTTTTATATACATGCTTGTGTTAATGTGAACGAATACAAAAGTACAAATGTTGGGAATGGTGTTTGTACTTTATCCACACCTGTTGTTGTATCTGTTTGTGTGTTCGCATAATTGTGCGGGACGGTATTGTGACAGTGTAATCACATTGTGTTATTAATATGACACATTTTTATTCTTGTTAGAAATGATGAATAATTGATTGGAGCTTTTGTAAGTGGCTTTTGTTTGTTTATTCATTGTGTTAGAAAGGATTTGGTGAGAAGATTGATGCCACTCTCTTTTCTAGGAGGTGATTAGCCCTGTTTAGCAAATTAGCTCTTTCCAGTCCTTATGCTAAGCTAAGATAATCGCTTCTCAGAGTTAGCACCAAACTAGAGCCAAGACATTAGAGTGGTATTGATGTTCTGATCTAACTTTGGCCAAAAGGCAAATAAGCATTTACAAAAATGAACTGCGGGTTTATGTGTGTGTGTGTGTGTCACATTTGAGTGTAGGCACGCATTTGCCTCCTCACACTGTGCACTCCATTCTCCATGTCACTTTGTTCAGGTAGCTTTCCGAACTGTGAAAACTGACACGTTGAGCAGACAGAATGATAACAGGTAAACGCTGCGTCGAGCTTCGCAGATGCAAACCTGTCAACCAGGCGCTCGCCTCACTCTCCGCAGGCTGCCATTTTCCCCTTGAGCCAATCAGACTGAATTATGGGAAGGGCGCCCTCGATTGTGGTGTCTGTGATGGAGAGGTAATTCCACCTGACAGCTGCTTGCTTTCAGACAACAGCCAGTCTTTATGGAAATCATCCCTCCTATTCTCGCTGCAGTCGGCTTCTGCTGATAACAGCCCGAATGAAAACAAAGCTGTCCTTTTCTACTTTTTTTTTTACTCTCCTCACATGGTTGACAGCCTGGAATTTGTAAAACAATTCTAACATGCTATATATTCTTACATTGTACGGCTGCTTTGATATTATACATGCTTTGGGCCAATATAAAAAATAAATAGTTTTATTTGGATCTGATCAGAAATCCTATGATAAACATAAAGATAAAGGAAGAACATAAAGAGCATCCTTCAAAGATAAAATCACTTCCTGGTTTCTATTTTTTTAATCCTGGCATAGACAACATGTTCATTCTTCCACTGGAATATTATTTGAAAATAAGTTTAGTTTTTAATAAACAACTGTCGAACTACAATTAGGGCTGGACGATATAGACAAAAGGAAACATTAACATTAATTCTGATTAAATACCTTAATTAATATTGCAAGTATATTGTGTGGTTGAATATTCGTACAAATATATTTACAAAGTAAGATTGTATAATATTCATCAGTCTTTTGGGATATAATGATGACTTAACTAATATACCGGTTCAGACAGTTTGGTAAGTTAAGAAAATAACATTACTTTAAGTTAACGGAGCATTTAAAACCATAAAAAGACAACATTCATACCATATTTACGATATCCAAAATCGACTATCTAGTCTCATATCCAGTATTGATTTATTATCTATGTGTTGCCCAGCCATAACTACCATCACCTCAACGTCTTACAATAAACTGTCTCTAGGTATCAAAATCTTCAATGATATTGATTTTGAACAGTTTCTTCCAATAACCAGATTTAAGCAGCAGGGTCGAAGCATGTGGGGCAGTGTGCCTCCATCCCTACCCTCGTACCAATAACCAATATGTATAAGGTTCACAGGAGCTCCAGGCAGACAGAAAGGCGCTGCTTGCCCTTCACTTCACATTACAGTGGGGAAATTATGCTAAACGCATAATTAAAGTTCCTCCATGAAGTGAATCCCAAATGTTTATGATTACACAGTGCTCG